GTTCACTTTTACAATTATCCCAGGTTTGACTGCGTAGTATTGCATGACAACTCACAGTTTCATCGGGTTTGGCAAAGCGAGGTTGCTCCATGAATCCGTATATCATATCACATCAGATCAGGCTGAAGTTTGCTGTTTAGCGACTCCATTTGAGAGGCTTTTTATGAAAGTGGGAAGGGTTGATGCAGTCCATGGTTGGTTCAATGCGATTTGAAAAAAAAATGTGGAGAGATGGCAACAACCCGGGGTTTGCTGCTCAGCTGTGAATAAGCACAGAACGAAAAAAACGACGTGATGGGGAAACGCTCAGCTCGCTACAATATTTTTAACAGCCTCTCAGTCCTCGCCTTTTTTTAATTTCCTAATATGTTCTTTGCTTTATTAGTTTTATTTACAACCAGCTCCCCATTAACACCTCACCTGATTACTGAGGAGCTGAGACAGCTAATCAAGAAAATCCAGCAAACCAGCCAAAATCGAGAGGTGGGATTTTTTTTTTTTTTTTTTTTTTTTGCTTTCATTCAGGCTTCTTCTTTATTTATTTGTTTTGTTTTCGGAAATATTTCGAAACAAACAGTAAATAAAAGGCAGGTATCAGTGCATATTGGCAAAAGGTCAGAGGTTAGAAATTCACGTCAGTTCTGTATCAGAGGCTATGCAGAGGGCGGGAAGAGAGAGGGAGAGAAGGGAGGAAAAAAAAAATCTTTCCACCAAGCAGCTTGTTTATTTTAATTAACATAGGGATCCTCTGCTAGGAGCAAGGAACAACCTCCATCTACTGGCTAGATCATTGCGTCTCTTCTCCATTCAAAACCCATCCCTCATCACTCATTAAGGAGGGTACAATTTTGGAAGAAGCTTCTAAGGTCTCAAGGTAAGCTCCTGCATGAGTCTTTGCTAGCAATGCAGCTATTTGGACCTCACGGATGTAATTTGCAGGGTATTTTTTTGTTTGTTTGTTTTTTTGTTGGTTTTTTTTTTTTTTTTTTTTTTTTTTTTGGTGTCGTGGTGTTGTTTGTTTGTTTGGGATTTTTTTTAACAACACAGAACGGTACTTTCCCCAGGTGTATTCGCAGATAACATTTCATGCATCTATGCTTTAATCTAGAAAAATAGCTCAGCTTGGGAAGCCTGAGCCTTTCAGCTCAATTAAAAAAATGCACCTTCTTTTGTGCTTCTTTTAATTTTTTCTGTTTAAATGGAATGACTTCTTTCACCTGTCTGTAATCCAGTCTGTAAGTGATTCCTTTTCAAAAGCAGCAAAATATGATAATTTCCAATGGCTTAATTACAAGCGGAGTGCAAATACGATTACAGCTAATACCAGACAACTATGGAGCTGACAGTGCTGAGGTCCTGGGCGGTGAACAGTTTCATGTTAGACAATAATCTGCCTCTCCTGCTTTCTTCTGGCTGTGTGATCACTTGTTTGTGGTCAGTCACAGCGCTTGGCTATGGAAGATATGTGTTTGGGATTACTGTGCAAAGCACCTAGTTGTTTCTTATTTAAATATCATCTCCCTAAACAGATGAATACGTGTCTTAATTGACATGTTTTCAGATTACCGGGAGCTGCAAGCACATTGGAGATTTGGGGAGTTTTAATCCGATGCCGGTAACGCTTAAAACACCCTGCGCTTGTGTCCCTCGCACCGCCAGCCCCGCGCAGCCTGGCAGGGGAGGAGAGGCTGGTGCCCGAGTCTGGCTGCCATGCACCGGCTTTAACATGTCCCTAGCACAGCGATCCGAAAGTTGCTTTACGGAACACTCGAGAGGACTCAAGGGAGAAGAAAGATGGTGATGGTAAAATACGTTGTATCTGACTCCGAAGTGGAATTTTAAATAATGTCTTTTAAAATAAAAAATAATTTTAAAAATTGAGATAAAATAAACCGCAACCTATTGGAATACTGAAAACTGTATTAGCTACATTTAGTGCCACCACCAAGAGATGTAATTCTATTCAGATTTCCCTTCTTTGTGTCTAGATTGGTTGCAGTGCCCGAGGACTTTATAAACAGATGAGACTGATCATTAATAGCACTGCACTCCACCACAAGCTCGTAGAGCAGAAAATAGCGTTAGGATTTAAAAATAGACCTGGCTTTAACCACCCGACTTGCAGGCAACAGGATCGTAATCCTGTTGCTGTTATTACGACGCGCTTTAAATTTCTGGAAATGATTAAACTGGAAGTGTCTTGAAAAGTTCAGGTGCTGACGGAGAGGGTGTGAAGCTCTGGTGCCCTGCGGGGCGGGAGGCGGCTGGCCCGGGCAGCGCCCTGCGCCTGCAGCCGGACACGCCACGGCCTCAAATGCGGCAGGCGAAATCCAAACCACTTCTCCTCAAAGAACACCTCCTCCCCCTCCCCACCCCCACCTCACCCCCACCCCCCGCCTGAACACCCTCCCCTTTCCCCTAATTATTGTTGGTCAATTATTAATTTGCATATAGACCTTGTCCTAAATCCTCCGAACTGAGCACAAGATCGTTCACGCTGCGATAGGCTTTAGCCCGTAGCCCGTGGCCAGGGAGAACGCGGGCTCGGTGGCAGAGCGGATCCAGGGAGCGCACGCTGAAATCTTCCCAGGGCACACATGCTAATTGCGAAGGTGGAAGGGGCTCCAGGCAGCGCCCGCGGAGCTGCGGGCAGGGGCTGCAGCCGGCCAGCGGGATGTCCGCGGGAGCTCTCCAGCCCTGCGTGCGCAGGCAAACGCTGTACCTGTGGAAATCTCCACAGCGATGTATCCCTCATCCTCCCCATCAGCCCCCCATTAGCTCGGGGAGTTCGGGTAGAGCCTTACAGAAAGGAAAAGACCGAGAGCGCCTGTCACGTTACTAAAATATTCCGAATATTGCACATCAGATATTCTTTCTCAAATGCTACGGCAAAAGGACATAAAAGCGCCCTGCGATGGAAAACTGTCGTTCACAGGCAAAGTGCTAATGCCGATGGATTCATGAGGGGCAGGCTCGTAGATTTGGATTTTAGGTTCCCTGTCGTGTTCTTTGTGAGCTTTTCTCTCCCCCACCCCCCAAGCAAACCAGCAAAACCGTACGGAATCCCTCTTGCTATAATGGCAACCTCTCGCTACCAGCCTGCCTTAGAGCAGCGGAGCTCCAGTTCACAGCGAGGAATGAGATCTCAGGAACATTGAAATAGATTTACCTTGATCTCCTACAGGCCTTTTGGAAACGGAGAAGTCACGTTTGATGCTAGCAACAAACTTTTAGTGTCCCTTTAGGTAAGAATTGGTCTGCCAGCATTAGGATGTTAATCAGAAAACGCCTTGGAAACCCCTGGCCTCCTTTACTGGAGCAGCAGCAGCTAGTAGCGTATCCTTAACCGTACCTGATGGAGCAGAAAGAAAGGACCCTCTAATTAATTAAGTGTGTCTAACCGGAGGAGGCTCAGTCATTTCTGAGTTTTGTTATGAGTCTGCCCAATTACTCCTAACGGCGCCGTCGAGCTAAGGTAGAGACGGGAATTTAGCAAGCAATATTTTCCGTGTCTCTGCCTTGGATGCTTTGACGCCGCACCTGCAGAGCGTTTCGGTGAACCCGAGACAGCAAACGCGAGATAAGTGGGGGAGAGGGCAGCGGTGCCCGCACCCGAGGCACCCGAGGCGGGAGCACAGCCTGCTCGGGGGGCACAGGATCCCCACTTTAGCTTCCGATGGAACTGGGCCCAGCGGCAGCCGGGGGCTTGCCCCAGACCCCTCCCCGCTCCCGGCGGGCACGATGAGTTTGAGTGTCCTCAGCCTGGCAGGGACACGGTCACAGCGGGACGGCGGTGGCGCTTCTGAGAGGGCTCTGCGGGGCCGGCCCGGGCGGGCGGGGGTCAGCGAGGGTCCTGCCTGGCACACGCCGGCGTGTCTTTGGCAACCCGAACGCCACGGGTAATGCAGACCATTTCCAGGAGAGCACATGCAACGTGAAACAGGGGCAGGGTGAGTTACCCCGATAACATAACTGGAAGAGAATACAGAAAAATTTCCTTCGAAGGGGAAAACACCCAGAACAAGCCCTGAACGTGCGTGTAGAGTGCAAAGACGATATTGCAACGATTAGAAACAAACTCGTCTCTAAGGGAGATTTTTTTTACCTCTGTCGCAGCCATCGCTGCGATTCTCCGAGCCAGGCGGGCACACGCCCGCGGTACCTGCCGGGCGCGGGGCGAGCGGGGCGAACCCTCCCGCACAGGGGTTCGCCCCCGCCCGCAGCGCCGCCGCCCCTCCCTTCCCTTCGCTTCCCTTCCCTCCTCCCGGACCGCTCGACAAAGCCGCCGGCCCCGCAACAGGGCTGGCCTGGGCCACACAGCCCTGCGGGGGAGCCGGCCGCGCTCCCGTTCCCCGGCGGGGCTGCGGGAGAGAGGGAATCACCTCCGCCCGTCCCCTGAGCAGCCGGGGCGTCGCGGAGCGGCGACGGGAAGGAGGAGGTGGAGGAGGATTGGGGATCCCGAGCGAATAGCTCCCGTATTCCGGATCGAATCACCTTGTTTATTTTTCCTGATGTCTTATTGTGCTAATTGACTTGTTTTCTCCAAGGAAAGCCTATCTTTTCCTCCTTCTTCCCCACATACGGATATTTTTTTTCTTCCAGTCCGGGAGTGTTCTGCAGAAGACTACGGCTTCTGGAGGGATCTGCCCTTTTTAAGGGAGATTCCCTCAGCTCTTTTTGAGACTCGTTGGTTTTATAGCTATTACTCTCTTATTAAAACACACACATACATACAACACATTGATTCCCATCCAAAAGGGCTAATTACATTACTTACAGTAAATAGCAGCCCTGCTGTCCAAGGTCTAGTGTGCCAACAGAGAAAAAAAATCCCGGCTTATTTCACTTGATTGACTTCATCTTTGTGTGAAATTGTGTTTTATGAGCTGTATTCTGGCACTCGGAGGAATGTAACAACATTCAATCTGCAAATAACATTAATTTTAGCTACTTAGGGGGAAAGAGAGGGGAGGAAACTTGCTGCCTGAATCTTGGGTTACATGGAAGAGGTGACTCGAGGAGCCCCTGAGGATGTCTCTGGGATGCTTTGGAAAGGAAGTGGGGGCTGGGGTACTTCTTTCACTAGTCGCGCTAGGGTTTGGTGTGGAGTGTTCCCCAGGGAGCAGGGAGCGCAGGACTGCCGCCAGGAAGATCCTTCAGTAGGGATCGAGGTGTCAGGAAACAGCCAGCAGCTGTTTCAGGGAAAGGCAAGGAAGAGTGGTGTGAAAAGTAAGTAGGAAAACGGGGAACGGAGGGGAGGGAGAGCAGACAGAGAGATTAGCCTGGAAGGAATGCATCGCCCGGTCCCCTGCACACAATGATCGCTCGCAGTCCGCGGCCGGGCAGCGGGCGAGGGTCGCGCTAGGGCATCCCCGGCCGGCCGGGACTGGCCCCGCGGAATGCCCGCGGAGGGGCCGCATCCTGCTGCGGGTACGGGCGGGGGCACCGCGGGCAGCAGGGCGGGCAGCGCCCCGGGAAGCGCTCGAACTGCCCGGGCCGCCCCTGCCTCCGCGGCTCCCCCAGCTCAGCACCTCTCCGCGGGCCCGGGGCGTGGGGAGCGCTCCGGCCGCTCCGGCCCGCCTCGGCCGCCCGGCACCGGCGCTCCTCTCCCTTCTCCCGTTCCCGCGGCGGAGCCAGGCGCGGCGGGGCCAGCCCGAGCGGCCGCCGAACGGAGGTTCCCGCGGCGCGGCCCGGGGGGAGTGGGACCCCGGGGGGAGAGCGGGCCACCCTGCCCCTCGCCAGGCGCCGTCGCCGCCAACTCCCGGGACTCCGTGTTTGGGGGAGGTAATAAATCCCACCCCACCCACAGCCCCGACCGTAATGTTTGTCACTGCTTGCCCATCACTAGGGGTTGAGAGGAGTATGACAGGTCTTTGTTGTCTGAATAAAAATCAGTGGCAGCTCAAGGGAGAGAACTCCTCCTACTAAATTATCAAAAATGGGCTGGCTTTAGTCTCTTAACAAATTGGACAGAGCTCCGGAAAGCAGCAGTCCCAAATCCAACCTACAGGCACTGGGAACTTTAAAGCAACCAGGGACTGCTGAAAATAGCACTTCTTTTCGCTTTCTTTGTATTCAAAACTATATCCTTTCCCGACTGATTCTACTGCCCCAGGTCCAAGTCTCTCCAGTCAGAAGCCCCCAGCTCTCCAGACCAGTAGCAGATACTTTAGCTAGCTTTTATTATTTTATTTTTTAAACTAATTATTATTACATTTTCTCCCCCTTGTTTGTTTTCTGCACATCTTCAGGAAGCCCTCAGTGCTTGCGCAAAGAGAAGCTCCTATTTGCAACCTCCCTCCCTGCGCTGTGCGCCTCGGTGTAAACATTTTGGATGATCTAAAGACTCTGGGGTCTGTATATGGAAATAGTGGGGTGCAGAGCAGAAGAAAATACTTGTCCTTTCCGTCCCCCAGCCATGCTTTTCCACGGGATCTCCGGAGGCCACATCCAAGGAATCATGGAGGAGATGGAGAGGCGATCCAAGACCGAGTCCCGCCTGGCCAAAGGGGGACAGATGAACGGCCGAGATACGGTAAGAATGGAGCTGGCGCTCTTTGCAAGGGAATCTCTGCAAGCATGGACCCGCGTCGGGACAGACCCTGACTTTGGGGAAGAGAAAGACGCTGCTTCCCTCTGTCCCTTCCCTGTCACCCCTTGCTTGTGGAACCCCTTCCGATGCTCCCTGTAAACCCACCCGTAACGCTGGGTGCTGTGCTGGCCAGGCTCGGTTATACATTCGTCTAATCTGTGTCGCTGCGTGTGCTCTCTGGATTAGCGGGGAAACTGTTCTAAATCGTAGCAGGGACGGGGTTTCAGCCCTTGCGGCGGAGCAGCCTTTTGCCCCCGCGTCTGCCTGCGGCCGCTCTGCTCCTGTGAGCAGGGCTGCAGCTGGAGCTCCCGAGGTGTGCTTTATTTTCATTCTGCGCTTCTGGCACCTCCTAAATTAAACCTCAAACCGCGACTACTTACTTTTCGTAACTGTCTTTGGTCTGAAGTGTGTGATTGATACAGAGGCACCGCTCTCTGAGTGTTTTGCCGGCCGACTACTTTGCTTAGAACGTAACATCTCCTCTTTACTTAGTCAAAAGGACCAAAGTCTTCGGATATGTACTAAGGGATGGCGGAGAAATCGAGTGTCACGCTGGGCTTTGTGCAAAGCGAGATCTCCCTTTCTCCAACTTGTAGGGCTTCCGCCGATCGTGCACAAGGCTCTGCACACAAAGTAACGGCCTGGAAAACTGCTTTAAGGTTTTGGAACACAGGGTCCTTTACCCCCTCTCTTAAATAAACTCATGCTTTGTTACATGAGGATTTGCAATGTACATTTAACTCACCTTTCCATCGCTAAAAAGGAAAGGGGGCGAGGAACACAACTTCAGATTGAAAAATGAATGCAGAGTTGCCACTTTAAAACAGTTGAGACTTTAGAACAAGATGTTTGGGATTTTCCCCCCTGTTACTTTATCAGCAAAAGCTGCCCCAAGTTTCACGGCCGAGCTTTTGTCTCCGCCGTCCGTCCGTTTCCCTTTGTCCCGAGCGGCACTCCTCGTGGGGAGCAGATCAATGGGAACTCGCAGAAGTTTACTGAGAAAAGGACACTGGTTTGAGCTGAAATCAGCCCGTGCCACCTTTCTGCCCAAGTCCCTGGCCGTGCTGGTGAGCGTTCATACTCGCTGCTCTTTACACCATCCACCTGTCTCCTTTCTCTTACTCCTGTTTTAAAAGGCCTATCTTTAGAGATGCGGTTGCCGCTCGTTTAAATACGGGTGAAAGTTTGCCATAGAATGAGTGCAAGCCTGAACCCTCTGCCATAAACTTTAGGAAGAGCAAACCGGTATTTTTCTACTTTAAAATGCTGTTCCTGTGAAGTGCTTTAAGATTACAACGCTTAAAAAACAAACAAACAAACAAACAAACAAACGGGGAAGCCTCAGACTTTAAGTTCAGAACCTCAGAAAATAATGAGATCTGCTTTTCCTACTGCGGCCTAATCCATTGCTTTCACGTATTGAAATGACACCAGATCGTTAGGAGAGGTTTACTGTGAATCACGGTAAACACTTTACTAGCGGGGATGGTCCCGGTTCCCCCTTAAACTTCCCGCCGGGAGCCAGGAGTTTCGTCCCAGAGAGCCGTGCCTTTGAACGAGCCCCGGGCCCTGCGCAGGACCCGCTCCCAGCCCGGCCTGCCTGCCTGTCTTTCTCTCCCTGTCTCATCCCTTGTGGTGTGGTTGTTTTGCAGAACATGCCCCCCAGGAGCCCCGAGAAGCCTGCTTTGTGTGCTGGTTGTGGAGGGAAGATCTCAGACAGATATTACCTGCTGGCTGTTGACAAACAATGGCACCTCAGGTGTCTTAAGTGCTGTGAATGTAAACTGGCTTTGGAGTCAGAACTCACCTGCTTTGCCAAGGACGGCAGTATTTACTGCAAGGAGGATTACTACAGGTACAGCAATCAGTCCTCATGGGTTCAAAACACATCCCCTCAAAAGGCACTGTGAACCGAAACGCTCTTTTCTCCACACGGGCTTTCAAAGGTAGCTTTTTGCAGTCAGCGATTCCTTAATCCTTAGTCCCCTCAGAAAAGTCTCGCACGTCTCCAAACTGAACGGGCCGTCAGGGGACGCGCTGACTGAGCATGTGTGGCGGTGCACAAACAGGCGAAGGCTCTCCCGCTGTTCGGCGGTTTCACTCCGTAAAGACCCGACCGAAATTTTCCCCTGGCCGCAGCTTGCCGGTTTTCCCGAGGGCCGGAGCCCGCCGCCCCGCCCAGCCCCGCGGCCGGGCCCGGGGAGCGGGCCCCGCTTGTCCGTGTGTCACAGCTGTCCCGCTGGCCAGCGCCCCGCGGCTCTTCTCGTCTTGACAGGAACGCCAGGAGAGCGGGGGCCCATTCCCCCAGCTCCGGCCCGCCCGGCCCCGCGCTCACGGGCAGCAGCAGGGCCTTCGCCAAAGTCCGGGAGAACGGGTCAGCTCGGGGAGAGGGCGAGCCGCTCCCCCTGGGACCTCAGGGCCGGTTCCCTGAGGCTGTCCCGACACCAGGCGGGCCAGGGGCCACAGCCGGTGTCACGGGCCGTGCTGGGGCCGGGGTGGCGCGACCTGTCGGGGACAGGCTCCCTCACGTGGCCGGGAGGGAAGGCGGGAGGTACCGGGGCAAGCTCTGCCTTTGCCGTTCTAGTTGATGCCCACTTTTCTGTTTCCTTCAGAAGGTTCTCCGTGCAGAGATGTGCCCGCTGCCACCTTGGGATCTCAGCCTCTGAAATGGTCATGAGAGCCAGGGAATCGGTTTATCACTTGAGCTGCTTCACCTGCACCACCTGCAACAAGACTCTGACCACGGGCGATCACTTTGGCATGAAGGACAACCTGGTTTACTGCAGGGCCCACTTCGAGTCCCTTTTGCAAGGAGAATACCCCCCTCAGCTGAGCTACACCGAGCTGGCTGCCAAGAGCGGAGGGCTGGCCCTGCCTTACTTCAACGGCACTGGCACGGTCCAGAAGGGGAGGCCCAGGAAACGAAAGAGCCCTGCCTTGGGAGTGGACATCGTCAGCTACAACTCAGGTGGGAAACACACGCCGAGTCTGCCTCCCGCTCCCCCAAACAGAGCGTTCTCGGGCTTCCCCTCAGCCAGGCAGTGCGTGAATAACTCAGCCAGGCCAAATCTTGCTTAACCATTGGAAAATCAAACAAACAGCCCTCTGAGGGCTGGAGCATTTGCAGGAAAGCTAACAGCAGCCCTCCTCAAAGGCTGTCTTTGCCTATTAATGTCAAACACCCAAACTTAGCCACTTCCCAGGGTAAAGACAAAAAAAAAAAAAAAAAAAAAAACCCCAAAAAAAACCAAAAAAAAAAAAACCCCAACCCAACCCCAAAACGACATAGCTTTCTCCACTAGAATCTCAGATATACAGTTACCATTATTTACATTTGATTAGCTAAAAAAAAAATTCACCACTTAAACCTCAAATTAGGAGTAACCAAATGAATCAGAAAAAATAGAATAAAAGTTATAGTATATGGTTCCTACAATACCAATATAGTATGCATATAACTCAATTTATATATTGAATTTATAGTGATTAATTCTTCAGGCTGAATAATTCTGTTTTACTGACACATAAATGATCAGACTGTACAAGAGGTCAACGAATAAATGTTGTTTCCTGTAACTAAACCCTAACAAATGTAATTAAGGAGAATGATTTCTGTTCTCTCAACAGTAGGAAAGGAACAAGTGCTGCCCTGTATTGAATACCCTCTATAACTCCAGTCACTTGAGTACCCAAACCGTGTATAAACAGTGCTAGTGGCCAGAGGTAGAGGAGTTTCAGGTATGACCAAGCAGTTGAGGCAGAGTTTCATTAGATGAAGGACGAAAGCAGGAAGGGTAAATACGAATTGCCAAACTCCCGACTCCAAAATCGTTTCAGGGAAACTTAAGCTTCCCACGGACGGTAACAGAGGAAAGAAAGCCGTGGGAAGCAGGAGTGATGCAAGGTGTGCTTCCCCGTGAAGCGTGGAGCCGTGCCGGCTGGGGCAGGGAGCCGGGGCTCCGGGCCCAGGGCTGCGGACCGCTGGCCCCACCGGGGGGCCGGGAGAGGGGTCAGGGCCTCCCCCTCCGACAATCGCGGGTCGGTAACAGAGCACCGCTCTGGGCCCGGAACTCTCTCTCCTGCACCAAGTTCAACCCGCTGCCACTGAGATCCATAAGGAATCTTCCACCGCCCCCCTGCCCTCCCCACCCCTCCCCCGGCACCTCCTCTGGGGCCGCTCGTGAAACGGGCTTTAGCTGGGAACCAGGGAGCTGTGCAAGGCGATTTCATCTCCTCTGATGCGTAGACCTTGGAGCCAGGGTAATCACTGCGCTAATTGTTCCTTGTTAATTGAAGATGACATTGGAATCCCTGGCTACGGAGCGGCTTCCAATCAATCCTGAAAGCTGCTAAAGAAAAGGGAACCTGTAGTGCAGCCAGGATTCATTCAGCCCCAGCTTCCAATGGTGGATTTCCCGTGTGCCCACTCTCCGCTCTGGTCTCTATCCCTGGTCCACACAGCATCACCCGATTCCCCAGATTCCTAAAGGGAAATAATCCTAAGGACAATTTAGCGTTAAAATTAGAATCAGAAGTTATGGTAAGATGAAGAGTTATGGATATGATAAAGCTCCCCTTAAACTTCAGATCAGGACTCAAGAGAGACATTATTTGCGAACGCTGACATAATCTTCGTGTGCTGGTCTTAAAACTCCCCTTCTTTACAACAACGGGCCATAGAAGATGTACCACTGACTCCAAATCAGATTAAAAAGCGCCACCCATTATGAAAATACAGCTCACTGCATTGAGAACTCACAGAATCCTCCGTGCAACGGAGAGAAAAAAGAACAAATCAAAACAAATCAACAAACGCTCTGATGCTTTGCACTCAGGCTAGATGGCTGAGAATTCTCTTCTATTAGGGCCGTGATTTTCTTCTTTTTTATAAGCATTATCTAGCTACGTCCAGGGTTGACACATGGTCTCGAGAAAGTTTGCAGCCAAATCGTGCATCCGGTGCAAACGGCTCCAGCCCATTGACCCACTGTGCCCCAAATCCAGGGGGAGGAAAGAGAATCTGGAACAGCCACGAAATGAGTTGCAGTAGATGAAACCACTTCTTGAGAGAAAAAAAAAAATCTCTAACTAATTGGCAGCCACTTCCCTACACACATTTTTCGTTCTCTGCCCTGTGACTCAGTAACTGCTCTTGCACGTAATCATTTACAAAGGGCAAGCAGTTCGCAGAAATTAAATGTCGGATGCACGGCTGCCGCCTTCCGAGGGAGCAGCGGGCCCCGCAGCCCCGGCCGCGGCGGGCGGGCGGTGTCCGGGCCGTGTGCCGCCCTGTCGCCCCGCGGGGATGGGGACAGCGGCGGGCACGGGCACAGCCCTGCCCCGCGCACCGAGCCGGACCTCACCCGCGGCACTCCGGGGCTGGGGCACCGCGGCTGAGACCTCCCCAGTAAGCCGAGTACCTTCCCAAACAATCCCAGCCGCGGTGTCCATACCATGTGCCAAGCCATTATGGAGAACGACCCCCAGCTTTAAAAACGAAACTCCGATGGAGCCAACAGTTTCACCCAGCTGAGCGTGAGCATGTGCGTATTCACAGCCACCCAGCAGGCCCTGGCTTAGATTTGTGTGCACATTATGTTACAGGGGAGCTGAGCCCTGGTCCAGAATGGAAAATCAGACTCTGCTGTAGAATCTACAACAGCTTTTCTATTCTGTATTTTGTTTGCTAGTTTAATTTCTTTTTCACAGCCCCTCGGTTGTAAAGTGGAAACAACAATAAATAACTCAAAATGTTATGAGGTAGAAATCACTCATACTTGCAAGCTGTCTGGAATTAATGTGAAAAATGGAAGAAACTATTCAAAAGTGCTTAAAACATTCAAAGCTTTCTCTATATTAAATCTTATATCATATAATTAATATATATTTTAAGGGAAACTGTGTTGACTTAGAGCTTAGAGGATATAGAAATAAGATGGTGAAGAAGATTTCCTTAGGAAAATATTTTACACATCTGTTCCTTAAAGAGCTATTTACTTTATTTCACTGTGTGTGTGTGTGTGTGTGTGTGTGTGTATGTGTGAAAAACTATGAAGAGTTCACTTGAAGAATTCTTGGCAATAAGAAGCAAACTGTTCTAGCTCTTTTGAAAGCAAAAATTAAACAACCCTCCAATCCTGCTGCAAAGAAATGAGCAGTGTCTTGCCTGACTTTGTGCTTTCCCTTAGTTCTCCAGGAGACAGTGTAAGACTCTGCTCTATGATGTGGCCAAACCACACAACACTCACAACAGAGTGAGCTGAAATCTTTGTATAAACCAGGATTGTCTGAAGATACTTGGAGCCCTCTTCTAATTTTCTCTTGAAAATAAAAACCAAAATAAAGTAGACCACTGACAAAAAGAAAAAGAAGAAAAAAAGAGTAGAGTACAGAAACAAAGGCAGTAAGCAGGACAGAGGAGGCTGAAGAAGTTTGTGTTGCTGCTACAAGCCTGAGTGGCCCAAAGAAAACAACACAAACAAGCAGTTTGCAACTCTGAAGTAAAACCTGAGGACTGAATTCTGGTACTCTGATTTATGTCAGCTCATAAGTTACAGCCCACGCAGTTTGACTGAAGGCAGTGTGATTGCTTGTGAAAACAAGTAGTAAATACAATCCAAATCTGGTCTGAAATAGTTTTTAAGGCAACTTTCAACTCCTGGTCTTTTCAGAAGTGTCAGCTTACTTTGTTTGAAAGTACAGATATACTTCTTACCAAGACTAGGAGCAAAGCTAGCTATAATTAAATATTCACCTGATTTTCTGTCAAAGTGCTGTCTTACCAGCATCTGTTCATGTTGACTTGTCTTATAATTCAAAAGAGAAAACACCTTCAAGAAGCTTTTTATTTTCTTGTGGTTTCAAGTTGCTTTGCCTGTTTTCAGCACGGCCTATATCAGTCTCTGTATTGTGTGCCTTCTCTCTTTCTCTTCTCTCTCTCTCTCTCTCAATTAGGAATGAGGACCAGCTAGGCCTTGTAAATAATCCAGTAACTATTGGAAAGTAGTTCAAAAATCAAAAGGAGCAACTAATGAAACTGTCTAATTTACAGACATTCTGAAGCATTTTTAATTAGCTCTTCTTTAATTAATATTCCCTGCTATGATGACACCATTAATTTTCTCCTGTGTGACTGAACTATCTTTATAAAATGAGATCCTAGAAATTGCTAACCCTTTTGTTTAAGCTGAAAGGAAAAGCACAGATGCATTTCTTACTTTTCTTTTTGCTAATACTGTAATTTCTTTCTCCAGTATGAAGTAATGATGCCACCATCCCCAAACAGCTGCAGCCCTTGCGTACAATTCACACCCACAAACGTGTAATCTGAAACAAACTTATCCTTCATAGACACTTTGAAAATACTGAATCAGGGGAAGAAGAGAAACCCTTCAAGTTTTGAGCCCCTAGCTGCTTGCTTGGAGAAATGTCCTAAACCAGTACTAAGACCAACTGCTGATTGGGATTGGGGGTCTGGATCAAGTCTTGATGCAACTGCTTCCTGGATATATTTTACAGATGAAGGGCTTCAGGCAGTTCATATAAGCTCCCAGGCAGAGACCAAAAACATTCATTTTATCAGCAAAAAACTCAGCTTTCTTGATGAACTGTCATAACAAACTTCCCTGCTGTACATCTCTTTTTATAGGTGCTTGTGATTTGGGGGGAAAATCTCAGGAACATTCAAAATGCTGGTTTGACCTTAACTCTTCTCTCAAGATAAGAATGTTTCAATGAGTAAGATTTCAAAATCTGAATGAGATTTTGAATGACTCTTTGAGCACCCAAAGCAAAACCATCACCACAGGGAAAAGACTTGTTTGAAATAAATGCCAAAGGAGACAGAACTTTCAAAGTCTGCCCTTAGTAGGTACAGGCCTGGGGGACATAGGATAAGGACAGGAAATGACAGTATTCTGGAGCTCTTTTGGTCTCATCAATTATCACATCTGTACCTATCCTTGTATGATCTTGGTCCTTCCTTCCTTCCTTCCTTCCTTCCTTCCTTCCTTCCTTCCTTCCTTCCTTCCTTCCTTCCTTCCTTCACTCCCAGCACTTAAACAGCTGCCAAAGGGTTTCCATTAATAGGTTCTTTGGATACAGTATAGACAGGCTTATGCTGTGCTGTCGCTGCTCCACAGCCCTTCTTCCCTTCCTTGGCTTCCTTGGAAAGATGAGGCAGGCAGGTCTGGCCAGAGCCAGGCTCTCCAGAGGAAGGCAGGAGAGCACAGGGTGAGGCAGCAGCTCTGCACGGGGAGGGAGAAGTGAGAGCAGCAGCCCCTGCCATCCCTCCCTCCCTCCATCCCTCCCTCCCTCCATCCCTCCATCCCTCCCTCCCTCCATCCCTCCATCCCTCCATCCCTCCATCCCTCCATCCCTCCCTCCTGTTACTCAATATTTTTGCCTTGATTCATTTATCCTACATGAGGCATGGCCACTAACTCCTTGCTCACTTTATTTATTCAACAGGTTGTAATGAGAATGAGGCAGATCACCTGGACAGAGACCAGCAGCCTTATCCCCCATCCCAGAAAACAAAGCGCATGCGTACCTCTTTCAAACACCACCAGCTTCGTACCATGAAGTCCTACTTTGCTATCAACCACAACCCAGATGCCAAGGACCTCAAGCAGCTTGCCCAGAAAACAGGCCTGACCAAGAGAGTTCTGCAGGTAAGAAGCCACATCACAGGCTTGACAGAATTTCCCCCTGCTAGTCAATAGCCTTTCCCTTATGTGTAACTATAGCGATATACGTAGAAATACTTTTGCTGGGTGTGTCCCTAGTGGGTGTGCAGAGGGGTATGGTATCATGTGGCAGAAGTGCCAAATGTGTGTGCCTTATTGCCCCGAGGCAGCCAAACACCAAACTGTGGTTTATGATTAGCTGCATCCTCACCATGAAGAGAATGTCTTCAGAGTCCACCACCCAGTAGATCTCCTGGGGTCAGTGGTCTCTCTGTGGTGACTGCACTAAGGATAGAGGTGGAAAATCTACTGATTTTATGGGTGAAGCCTTTGGGCTCCCCGAAGGAGTAAATGTAGCCCCTCAGCAAGCAGACCCCTGATGTGTTTGAAGTAAGCTCTGACCAATATGATCCTCCAGGACCAGCTGGCTCCCCCTCCCAATGCTTGTTAGACAACTGTTTTCCTTAAGAGCCTGCATAGTCAAAAGTCCCTGTGAAGAACCGCCTAGCAAATGATGTTAAAAATCCCTATATGGTCAGTGATAGCTCAGTGAAGTTAAAACGAGGTGTGTATTACATGCAGAGTGCCAAAGAAGGGCAGTGAGTGAGGCAGAAGGAGAATCTATTAGCGGCAGTTCCTGCCCGTGTTACATGTCACCTCAAACACTGCCAGTGAACCTTACAGAACAGAAAGACTAGATGACCCATATCAACAATCTGTAAGACAGGGACGGTGTAATTACCCCTCCTTCCTCTTCAGCCTTTTCAAATAATCAAGGCAAGCTTTCAGCCTTGGCAAAAATCTGCTCACTCACCCTTTGCCTCAATTTTTGTGTGTCTTGACCTCAAAGCTACCAACCCAAGAAACCCTATGTGGCCATCAAGAGAGTTGCTTTCTTTGGGTAAGTGAGCGAGCAGATTTTTCTCGAGGCTGCTCTCTGAGGGCTGTAAGCACCTGCAGCACTGGGCCTGTACACAGAGACTCAGGACCACCAGTAGCAAGAAAAGCTATAGAGTGGCTTAGGTGATGTGCCACACAAAATCAAACATCAAAAATGAATTTAAAAAACAAGAACAAAGACAAAAATAAGCAAAGCAAAACAAGCATCGGTAAAGAAATCCATTGGGATTGGTTTGCAGGTTTGGTTTCAAAACGCAAGAGCCAAATTCAGAAGGAACCTTTTGCGGCAGGAGAATGGGGGTGTCGATAAAGCTGATGGCACCTCGCTCCCGGCACCGCCCTCAGCAGACAGCGGCGCACTCACTCCACCCGGCACTGCGACCACTTTAACAGACCTGACCAATCCCACTATCACTGTAGTGACATCAGTGACCTCTAACTTGGACAGCCACGAATCCGGGAGCCCCTCACAAACTACCTTAACGAACCTTTTCTAACAGTTCATTTTTTTTTTTTAAATTCTTACTCTTCATTATTATTATTATTATTATTATTATTATAATTATTATTATTTTCAAGCCTTTTTAAAAAAACAAACAAACAAACCCACAAAATATTTGGGAAAATAAACAGCTTGATGTGTAGCATCTGCAACCACCTGGCAAATGAGTTTGAAGTAATATGTTGCTATAATATACGAACATTTATTGTTGGTAAATTGTACTCAAATTCTTTAAATTTATCAAATGACTGAAGAGAAGGTGATGAATCATTCTAATAAGTGCCTCTTAAAATTGTATGTTACTTATTTCCAGAGCCTTGAAAAAAATTGATTGTTCCCCCCCACCAAAAAAAGAAGACTCTATTTTCTCCCTGATAACCAGATAAAAACCATTTTAATTATAGCCAAAAGAATGCTGCTTCAGGATTGTATGTTCACTTACAGCATTTAAGAACCCCAAATTTAATTTTATTTTCATAATGCATCCAAAAATTTTGTACTATTTATTTTTAAATGCTGAAAAATAAATACAAAATGAATCAAACTAATCATGGAAACAGTCAGGCTGGAAGTACCAGTGCTCTTTCCTAATGCAGTAGTCACAAGCCTGCTTCTCCCTGAGCACTGGGGAGTCTCACTGGGATAGCTAAACGCTCCTCTGCCAGTTCTGCACCCAGCTGGGATGTCCTTGGCCACCACTGAAAGCCATGCCTGATGGAGGACTTGGAGAGAGACCCAGTGATGAGAGCACGTGTGGGTGAGGATGGCAGGACCAGGCCGTTGGTCTCCAAAATTGTGCCCCGCATTAAGGAGGCAAGATCTGGAAAAAACCCTCCAGAGTGAGCTTACTCCTATAAGAACGTCATTAAAGTAACAATAGCAGAGTAACAATGCAAGTGGAGACTCCTACTGATCTGAAATGTTGCCTAGGGAGGGGTTTTAATTTTTGTCTGTCAAGCAGCTCTGAATTTTTGTAATTAAAAAAGATAAAAATTGCAGTTGGCTACACGGCTTTGATGCCATACCTCCAAAGCAAACAAGAGGTTGCCCAGTTACTTTAGGGAGCACAAAAATAATTTTCAAGAAGGTGTATGCATGTGTACTATTCAAATGAACTTTTGATAAATCCTACTTTTTTTTTTTTTTCAGGGAAATGGAAATAAGCAAAATATAATTTATTAAGATGTTTAAGGAAAAAAAAAATCAGTACAATTTATTCATTATTATTTTGAATTTTCTTTAGATGTTTCCTGAGATTGTATCAGACACTTTGTTTAACACAGGAACTTAAAATCTTTAGTTCATTAATATCTCTAACATATGCTTTAACTTTTTAAACTTTGTGTAAAAGAAAAAAATGTTAGCAAAAATCACACAAAACCAGGAATTGGCAGTGAATAACTTCAAAGCTGATAAACTCAGAAGCCTTGTGGATGCTGATCTGAATACATTTCTTAGTTTACAATAGTGATCTTTCTTTTTTTAGTTTTATTTAAGCTAAAAGTCTGAATGGTCTGGGCAGTGGTGAATGTTCATTTGTATCCTTTTATTGTAGTTGAACACCAATTAGATTGTGGAGAGTCTCAGAAACAAAAACGAACAAAAACCAGTCAAGATCTATGTCTTGCTTTTAGTGGATTGTTAAGAATAACTTTGCACATATACCCCACTTTTTAGACACCATCAAATCTCTTTTTGGTGGTCAAAGTGGCTATTTAATATATTTTAAAGGTGTCCTTTTTGGCTGTATAAATGTGTGGTTACATATTGACAGTTCACTGCCCACATTAAAGTGCATTATTGTAATTTTTGCTCAGGGTTTTTAGAAAATTAGCACAGAAAAGTAGCTTATTTTTAAAAAAGATGATGGAAGAGATGTTAACACTGTAATAGAAGAAAGGTGTGTTTGCCATTATATATTTAGCAAGTATGGTTATCATCTTCTACGGATATTGAATCTTGACTTTTCCTATTTCTATTACCTTATGGGCATTTACCACTAACCAGACCAAAAGACCTTGGTAAGGCTGAGATCTTTATTAATACACTTTTACAGGTAAAAATATTGATACTTATAAATTTTGTTCTTTGACAGAACAATATATGGTACTAGAGATCTACTTTATTAAGTAGACTAATTAAAACTCAGTTCTACTATGTGCCTTATGATATACCTTGGGAGTAAGTTTGTGAAAAATCAGGATATATGTGTTGTTTGTTAAATTAACTGTTTTAAGCCCTTTTGACACCTCACTAGTTTTGTACTGTTTTACCTCTTATTTCTGAAACTCTTTTTATGGTGTATCCTGTTAGAGGGGACAAACATGTCATAGAAAGCAGTTGTGCACTCTTTCAGATATAGTTGATAAATCCAATAATCTTATATATTGAGCTTCGTGTTTATAGTACAGTAAGTGGTCTAGCAAAATTGTCCATGTTTCTTTGTTTATTGATAAATGCATTGTATAGAAACTATTTCCCCTAAATATTTATGGACCAAACAATTGTGATATATCCTATTAAATTTGTGTGAATAAACCATTTTGAATCTAAGGAGTTTTATTTCCCATCAGTTTTTGGTTTTTTTGGTTTGGTTTTTTTTTTTTTTTTTGTTTTTTTTTTTTGGGGTTTTTTTTTGGGTTTTTTTTTTTGTTTGTTTTTTTTTGTTTGGGGTTTTTTTGTTTTGTTTCTTTTTTAAAATTTAAGATCTACATATACCTGTGCGTCTCTTTGCTTTTACGATACCTATGAACAATTGGTATTAAACACAGAAACACGGCCTTTTAAATATTTTAAAGTACAGTTCCTTCTTAGGTTTTCAATTTCTTCATATTCAATGTATATGCTACTGCTGGTGCAATTTAGATTTTAGCCTTTTAACCTCCTTTTTTGAACATGCAAAGTAATGCCCCACTGATTTGATACTGAAACCCTGTCTTAGCCCTCTAAAAGAGCCAGAAAACTAGGAGCTAAAGTAATTGCATGACAAATATAACCTAAATAGTATGATGAAATGAATCAGGATTTAATGCTAGGTATATTGAGCACAAAATAGAATTGCAGACCCCGAAAAGCCAGGTTGCTCTGTAGTTTAATAAATTGTCACTATGATTTCTTTCAGGGAGAACAAATCATGGGGCATTACAGCCAAACATCCCGACGTTTGAAAATTCCCTAAAGTATTAAAAGAAGGGGAAAAGTTTGATCGGAAATCCACTGCAGTGAAGACAAAGACAATATTAGGTTATGATAATCATACATTTAAAAATCTATTGAGCCAAAAAATAAAAACAAAAGACTTGATGTAATTTCCTGAATGTTAACAAAACATACGTTATTTTATGGTGTCTAATTAACAGAACTGAAGGCTTCAACAAATTGTGTGCTATCAAAAACAAATTTAGAGAACCTATGTATAAAACCAGAGCAACCTGGCAGCAATCTACCCAGCCCATATTCGAAGAAACCTTTTCTTTTTTAAAAAAAGAATCACATTTGTCAAGCACAAGTACTTGTAAAATAAAATCTGAGTGCATTCATTCCACTTGCTTGCTAATGTGTACTAGTCATATCTGTTAAATGGATTTTTGTAAATTCAAGGAGAACTTTTCACTCATCCGAGATCATAGGAATCAAAACCCAGTAACTTTAGTACTATTGTTTCAGAATTAATTTTTTTAAAATGAGACAACTCTGCATGCACTTTTCCATCTGTCACATATAGTGTACATTTCTGTATGATGAATTTCTCTTTGATGTTTCTTGTATAATACCTTTCATTAATAAACATTTTATTTGATGCAAACATAGTTAACTTTATGTACACACATAGCTAACTGTTCCAACTAATTTAAACTCTTCTTTTGAAAGGAAGCAGTACAGTGCAGTTCCAATATGCTATATATATATATATCTAAAATCAAAAAGAATGAGGTAGCAATACTATTGCACAGTGTAAAATTATTTCCTTTGGTGTTAATTTTTTAACTTCTTGTATAAAACAGACTTGTTTTAAAAAGAAATTCCCATCAGCATCAACAATAAAACAATCCCCAAATTCTTCATCAATATAAGAAAACATGAGCAGTACAGTGTGTACTTTACACAGTGGCTTTAGAGTACAAGGATATAATTTGTGGGTCCCTGAGCTGTTTACATGGTCACTATGCAATGAGCACGTTTGCTACATAAAGTTGGTCCTAAGATTCCCTGTTCAAATCACAGATGATATTTACAAGCCAACAAGCAAGTGTAACAATAACAATTCTTAGTAATGAGGTTTTGTAACTGTTAAGCAACTATTTGCAGAAAGACTTTTTAAAATATATTCCTATTTAGCTGTATAGCCAAAGCATATGTTAAACAAATTAACATATAAAAGACTTGCCAGAAAATCTTTCATTAAGATGACATTTTTATTATATACTAATGAACCCTATGTAAACAATGTAACTTTTATGAATGATGGACATTAAATATTTCACTTACGTGTATCCTCAGCATTTTGCATGTTTTCTTAAACCTTTCCAGTTTCAGAATTCTAAAAAGAAAACCATACAACTACTTACAACATAGCACAAAGTTATGTACAGGTTACTGCAGCAATCTCTGGAAACCAGTTACTAAGAGTGTTCTAATGGCAATAAAAAGGTATCATTTATTGGTGGTAATTATGGGAAGGATTGTTTAAACAACAGTTTTACAGTATATTGTAAAGTTCTATTGAAAAAGGTTAGCATGGTGGACTTAATTCAAATCAGCTTGATCAGAACTTTAAGTATATTGTGAAATTCCTAAGCTAAGCCTTATGTGTATTTATAACTGCAGAAAGTAAGTAAATGTAGGAAAGTAACTATTTGTGTCATAGCCACAATGTGGTTTCCTCCTGTTGTCCTTAGGAAAATGTTACAACCATTAATTATTCCAATCAGTAAAGAACTTGGTGGTGCTTAGGACCAAGAAAAAAAACCTACGCATTTTAATTTTTCTTTTGTAAATCACTGCATTCTTCAATAAGTTGGATTTCTTCTCTCCCTGATCTAATACTTAACAGAGATATTTCTAGTTTTGTTCATGTGCTGCATTTTACACTTCATTTAAATTAGAAAAATAAATGAAGTAAATAATCCTGGTGAAACACTGGCAAAATCTAAAATAAAACCAGAACAACTTTATTCTTCTGTGTCTGATTAGAGACATTAAGGTTTGATTTTTTTAACAACACTTAGCTTTGTCTGGAGACAGTCCTGCACACAGTGCTCTGACTGACCCGAGAAATGGCACTAGACAATCCAAATTTTTTCAAAGATACAGAACTGTCTCCTGCATTAAGAAAGCAAACATGGTGAAAAGGAAGCATCATCTGAGCAAGAAAAAAAGGAAACATTTCAGACAAGGCTTGAGAGAACTCAAGACAAAGGTAGGTTTTCAGTATTTATGTGAGTGAGAAATGTCTTGGGGGTCTTTCTAGTGGATACATATCCATGTCTAGACACAGCACTTCTTTGCTGTCCTGGTCTTGAAAAAGAAGTCAAATTGTTCAGTCCTAGAACATTTCCCTCAGA